TACATTTAAGTTTTTAAAATATCATAAAATTAGTGAATACGGTATTCAGTTTCGTAAATGACGTTATGAGATAGATCTTTTTTTCCGGCATTGTAAATTGTATCGCTTCGACCAATCAGAAGACACGCACTAATTAAGAAATGTAATTAAAAAGTACGGAAGATCAGAAGCAATAAAACGTCACGTGCATTGAGTATTTTAAGCGTTTTCCGCTGAACGTCCATTTCATTATTGCAAATTCTTCATGCTAAACACATGTTGTGTATTTTGAATTAGCTTTTTTACTAATAAAAAAAAATTGAACACCATCCTAAGCTAACTATCTCATTGATCATTGTGAATTCAAACTATGTGCAACACGAACCTATGTCACTTCATGGGAAGTTTTTCATGTTCTTTGTGAACATATTACAAAGTAACTTTCCAGTATTCCCTCTCAGTCCTCGTTCCATTCTGCCTGCAGCTCATAATTCTTCCTTAAGTGTTCTTGTCATCACCAGAGTCACAAGGTGTTAAAAAACCAAAAACACATCAACTGTACTGTACTGATGCGGCATTCACCCTGGGCGGATTGAGCCGGCTTCTTCCTGTTATGAGAAGAAGATTCTTGGGATAAATTACAGAAGTAGGGTTCCCAGGCCTACTCGGATATAACGTTCTTGTTTGCCGCGGGGTTCCCACAGACGCAGAGACAGGAACGACCAGAAGCCGCCGGTTACCGATGCAGACGCTCCTTGGATTTTCACCAGAGCCCTTGTTAGCCGGCGTGTGTGTCAGACCTGTCCGCCTTTGGTGGCCCTACCAGGAACGAAGTTCCGGACGGCATAGCTCTGACACTACCGTTTACACCCCCCACCGACTGTGAGGTAAGGGTTGGACTTTTGGGGGCTTACAGTACCAGGTGTTCCCAAGCGGTCCCCCATCTAAGTACTGACCTGGCTCTACGATGCTTAACTTCGGTGATCGAACGAGAACCGGTGTTTCAGCGTGATTTAACCGTAAGCAAAAAAAACACATCAAGCCATTGTTCAAAAATAGGTTTGAAAAAAAAAACAGGTATCAAGCCCACCTTACCAACGTTTTCCCTCTTTTTTCTCTCTCTCTCTCTCTCTCTTTGCTCTTATCTTGTAAGTGTGGGATTTATTACAAGGTGATGACGGCTTGTTATTACCGGCTGGCTGGCCTTTGACCCAGATATGTCAAAGACAATTTTGGCTTAATTTGAACCCTATTTTCCTTATCGCTGATATTTTTTTTTTTAAATGAGTCATACACCAGCCAATTTTACTTTTAAATGAAAGAACATATTATTTGCTTTCAGAAAATACCTAGTTTCATGGGGTTTCAAAAGTTTCCGTGATATTTTGTTCAGATGATGACAGAAGTCATTTTTCAATATTTTACCTCTACAAAAATATGCAAATCCATTTTTTTTCAGAGAAAATAGGCTGTGACACAATGATTTTGATATGTTTTTTACTTAGGATAGAAATTTTTTTATCATAGCAGATCTGAATTGACTTTATTTAAGTTTAGGGGGCTATAGGGGCCCTCAAACAGCTGTGCAGCACTTGTATTTTTAATAATTTTATAATATTTATAATTTCTCCAGATACTATGAACAAACTTATGATAAAAGCTACAGTACTAAAAAAAAAAAATAAAAAAATAAAAAATTGGAATGCTGAAATTTTTTTTTTTTTTTACTTTAATAATTACGACTACATAAGCTGGTTCACTTTAAAAAAAAAAAAAAAAAAAGGATTCCGTATGATAACTCGAATCTCACGTTAGCTTTCAATACGTGATCAATGTCATCACTCAGCACTTGTCAATCGCCAACGATGTTAAAATCGGCTCCCTTTTATTTTAAACAACATTTTTCTGCGAAGAAAGTATGTAGAAGTTTCTTTCAAAATATATTAAATAAACTTTAAATTTTTTAATTTTCTTTAAATAAATTTTGAAAAACGTATAATTCATTTTTGGACGATTTTTAAACGAGGAATTTAACTTAGTTTACAAAATTTTAAAAAAAGTGGCTGACATCAAATTTTTTAGTAATTTCGCTGACAAAAAAAAAAACAAGATTTTTAAGTAAAATTTCGGACATGCTAAGAATGAGTAAAAATTTCAAAAAGTAATCAAAATTTACTCTGATATTTCTACTTAATAATACACATTTAAGATAAAGAAAAATGCTACGCTCTTTTTTATCGATTTTCATGGAGTAACCTAATTAAATTTGAGGTCAAAGATATTTTTCTACAAAAAGTGGATATATTTATATCGCATCTTCAATTTAAACGAATGTGTTCACCTGATAAGACTTACAAAATTAAAAACACACACACACATAAAATGGATGCTAGTTTGTTTTTTGTTTTTTTATTTCCTATCAGAGCTGATTAATAGTGGTCATAGATTGACTGAAATCTAACCAAAACTAAGATTAAAGAAATACTAACAAAAATTATTAATAGGTGACAATGTTTCATCTATTAAAATTTAATTTAAATAAAAAAAAGTGAGGCTAATATTGTGTAGCAAAGGACAAAAAGTTATCTCCCCTTGACCCAAAACAAAAATAGCAATAAAATTTACCGTACTTTCTGGCTTACAAGACGCTGCGGCTTGGAAGACGCACCCTAATATTGGAAATAAATTTCTAAAAACAACAAAAAAACTCATTCTCATACAACAACATATTCACCATGCGTTCCTCACATAATGGCGCCACGTATTGTTTAGATTAATCACTCATCCAATTTTGTTTACATAGCAATGACATACTAGTTAAGAGCAGAAAGGTTCACGCCGCTGTTAGTAAGCAAAGCATGTTTAAGCTTGTGGCTCGGCTCCAGGAAGGTTTATAGTCTTGGAAATGCTGGTAACAGCTAAGTACTGAGGTTGCATCATATAAAAGGCTGAATTAGATAGGTAGCTAACATAATAGTGTAATGACTCAACATACAAATCCCCGACCCTATCAGTCAATTAGGTGACCGTCCGAGCTTACTTGAGCCTGGACGTTTCCTTACATTCGTCTTGGAAGACGCATAGGTATTTTTCATAGTATTTTTTTTTTTAAGAAAAAATATCTTGTAAGCCGGAAAATACGGGAATTATAAAAATTCGCGAGAATAAAAAAACCAAAAAAAAAAAACCATGTGACCTGACAAGATATGCACTAGAGGGAAAGTCAGTCTTCCTCTTTTTGCTCCTTGAAGTTACGGTATAAAGACGCAAAAGTTCACGCTAGTAACAACAAACAGATAAGTACAAAATTTATATTGTTTTTGGTACTCAGTCTTTTGCAAGTAGATATATGCAAACCTTTCGTTAAGAATTTTGAATATAATATATATATATATATATATATATATATATATATATATATATATATACTATTTTTTTTGTTGTGTTTGAAATTTTCATATATTTATGTTGTCGCATGCTACATACATTTTAAACGAGGTCTATGTGATATATTCCCGTACAACAAATGCCACCACGAAGATGTGGTGAAAAACTTTTGGCCTTACGACTTCCCAAAGTTTGAGGGGAATTTTGTCACTAAAGAGGCTAAAAAATTGTTTCCAATAAGCTAACTTCGATTGAATAAATACAGACTACTTCTGTTATATCAGTAACTGCATTAATTCAAAATGTTTTAATGAAAGTACTTTAAAGTAATAAAACTCTGGTACAATGTTACATCTAAACATGGTGCTGTTTTTGCTCCATTCTAATTGAATACTTTTTCAGATCAATCAGCTGGGTATAGCTGCTAGTTATGGATAAAAATAGTGAATTTTTATATAGAGTTTTTTCGAGAGCAAAACAAATTTAAGGATATGGAAAAAAGAATAAAAGACCCCAGAATGACGTCAAAAAATGTTTCATAGTCAATCGTGTTTAGTTTAATTTGTAACGTATATAAATGAATTAAAGAAAAATGTTGATAAGATAGCAAGGGGGACTGTTAAGGGGTCCACCCCTTTTGATACAAGTGGACTCGCCCAGTGTACACTTGTACTGCTGCCGATGAATACCCGGGAGTGAGAAAGGGTGAGAGAGTGAGAGTGTGAAGTAACCGCTTTGTAGGAGTCACAGTTGCGAGCACGTAGACTCAGAAGGAAGTCCTACTTCGATACTGAATTTCCCAGACTGTATATATATTATTATTGCTACTAACCGCATTTCTGGATCTACTAACCGTATTACCAATTGTATTATTACGTCAATACATTTATTTGCTATATTTCATTCCTGCGTTTGTCATTCATTTGAGACCAGGTTTCATCCCGGAATGCACAACAGGGACAAAGCACTTCCCGCCTCTCCCACCAATCAGGCTCTCTTCAGTCGGGATGTAGGGGGGGTCTGTGGTGTAGTACACACCGGCCCTGCATCTAATGAAAATTCAAAATAATATTACTACTACTAAAACTACGACCTGAAGTGAATAAACTGAAATTAATTTGAAAGAAATGCTAGTCAAAAATGAATCAAATGTAAGCAATTTATTAAAGGGTTTACCATCCTACCATTAGCTTAAATACTATGTCTGACTTTTCAGTTGGTCTCTCCAAAACTAGAACGAGGATTAACGGCTCCTAAAGCTAACAAGTCAACCTCCTGCAAATATTTACTCAATACTACTTATTAGGCTCAACGCCTGCGACAAACAAGCCAAGAATTGCAATAACCGTGTCGACATTGTAAAACTGGTTTTATTTGCATGTCTGTCGGTATTTTTTCTTACCTCTACCCTTGCTATGTGCGGACGAATCAGTTTTCGATGTCATCTTAGAAGTCGGCTGAATTGATCCAAAAAACAGTTAACTAAGCCATTTTCATTCATTAGTGCAAGACTGACCGCTAGGCATCTTATACATGGAACGCAGATCTCTAACTTTGAGTTGATATTTCAGTTTTGCTAAGCTTTTGCGTATGGACGTGTAGACATAGAACTCTCCATTCCTGTCTATCTAAATCTATGTCGGTCTGTTCATTATATCAAGATATAGATGGATAGCAACAGATAGATAGGCAGATAGATAATGAACAGACATAGATAGATAGATAGATAGATAGATAGATAGATAGATAGATAATGAACGGAACAAGATAGATAGATAGATAGATAGATAGATAGATAGATAGATAGATAGATAGATAGATAGATAGATAATGAACGGAACAAGATAGATAGATAGATAGATAGATAGATAGATAGATAGATAGATAGATAGATGTAAGCAGACTAAGAAGGGTATAATCCTTGCATATCGCAGTCGAAGTTGATCCACTTGGGTATTGTAGAATTAGGATTCGAATGTATTGATGGGAACAAAAAAGTTAATATTCAAATGGAGGCTCGTTAAGTTTAACCGTGTGTAACCTCCGCCTAGCAAAATTTCAACACTCTCAAAATAAATGAATTCATTTACTTCACTTCTAAAATATAATAAATGGGAATGCTTTGTCTTGTCAATGCACCCTCTCAAAGTAATTATGCAGGCAAAGTGAGAATAAAATAATAAAATGAATAAATATTGTGACGGCAGTTTGTAGCGAGAGTCATCTGTCTGTAGCAGCAACGACTCGTTTGTTGATATTTCCTTCTGTCGGAAGGAGGTATCTATTTATGTAGTAAACTGCAATGGAGACACATTGTGGTAGCATGAGTTTTTTTTTTGTTTTTGTTTTTTTAAGAGGGGATAGTTTAGTGTTAGTATTGTGAAATGTTGTATATAATATTACACGTGGTTTGTCCAGGAACAACGAAGTTCCCCCAGAGTGGATAAGCGAAACATTTTGACACTATGACAATCTGAGGCTGATAAGAGATAGAAGGGAATGAAAGTTTTATATATATATATATATATATATATATATATATATATATATATATATATATATATATATCCTTTTGTTACCGCTTTATACAGCGCCACCTAGGGGATGTTAGGAGAATTCCCTAGATAGACAGGATGGATATGTTGCCAGTTAATCTTTAGAATTAACTCGCAAATAATATCAAATAACGGCATACACAAACTTGCTACAAGCTATTCTACTGCCAAATTGAAAATATACTCGCCACTTACGTTATTTTTAAAATCATTAGGGAAAATAAGTAAATCAGTAAAAATGTTAATAAAATTTACAGGTTGCCTCATGTCTCCTTTTTTACAATATATACTTTGGAGTAGACAGGTTCACTTATCGCCCGGTTCACACTCCTCCTTCGTCTTTTGAACTGAGGTAGAGGTTTATCCCTTGATTCCTGTTCAGTATCTCCGGTTCTTTCTTCTTAATTCTTTTCATTCTCTTTCACTTCTTGCCTGGCATTATCGCTTTGTTTTGGTGATAATATATATATATATATATATATATATATATATATATATATATATATATATATATATATATATATTAGGATCTTGAATAAGTTCACGCTGTTTTTTCAACAGATGGCGCTCCCAGAGCTGCGTTCGTATACTTTCAGATGGTAAGGTATCTATAAAGAAGTACTATGAGCAAGCTTGAAATTCAGTGTATGTCATTTCGCCGAAGTGTAAACAACTTTGTTTTTCATAGCGTTAAACATGTCAGATTTCGTACCAAAGAAAGTGTATTTGAGGGAATTTTACTGCACTACTTGATTAAAAAAGATATCTGCAGCTGAAGCACACAGGATTCTTGTTGAGACTTACAGCGACCATGCTCTGTCGGAAACAACGTGCAGAGATTGGTTTAGACACTTCAAGAATAGTGAATTTGATGTTGAAGATAAAGAACGTTCTGGCACTCCAAAAAAAATTGAAGTTTACTCCATGAAGACTTATGTGAGGCGGAAGCTGAACCTTCAAAATTATTAGGAGTTGATCACACAACAGTTTCGAAACATTTGAAATCATTAGGAATGATTCAGGACATTGGGTGCCGTACGAGTTGAAGCCGAGAGACGTCGAACGGCGTCTTGTCACGTGTGAACAGCTGCTTCAGCGGCAGAAAAGGAAAAGTTTTTGGCATCGAACATGACCGGCGATGAAAAGTGGATACATTACGATAACCCTAAGCGTAGAAAATCATGGGGTAAGCAACATCGACGGCAAAACCAAATATACATGGTTCAAAGCTTCTGCTTTGCATTTGGTGGGATCAAATGGGTGTAGTTTATTATGAGCTGCTCAAACCGACCGAAACCATTACGTTTGAGCCGAGCATTGGAGAAAAAACGGGCGCTATACGAGCAAAGACACGACAAAGTGATTTTGCAACATGACAACGCTAGGCCACATGTTGCAATAAGGGGTGAAAACCTACTTGGAAACGCTTAAATGGGAAGTCCTACCCCAGCCGCCGTATTCACCAGACATTGCCCCGTCCGATTATCACTTGTTCCGATCGATGGCACATGGTCTGGCTGAGCAGCACTTTCATTGTTATGAAGATGCCAGAAAATGGTTCGACTCGTGGTTAGCCTAAAAAGGCATGTGGTTTTTCCGATGTGGAATTCAAAAGTAGTGGCTAGCGATGTCCAATACTTTCAGTGACAGGTTTCTTACTAATTTTTGCAATTAAAACATTACTTTTCATTGAAAAATCAAGATCCTAATAGAATTATATATATATATATATATATATATATATATATATATATATATATATATATATATATATATATATATATATATATATATATATCAGATCAATTACGAACGACTCAATAGTGAGTTCGATCCTTACTGGATACCCCATACTGTCGGCATTGTGTTACATCTAAGCTACGCTTAGAAAATTACTATCTATATAAGATTGGCTTCCATAACTACCTTCTCAACCTGATGTCGCTGTGGTAGATAAGCTAATCTTGCAGACATTCATCCTCTGGAATTGTTTAATCCTTACTGGTGACCAAAAGGGACCTGATTCTGTGCTTAGCTTGCTTGTATAATATATCATTGCTAAAGTATTTCTTTCAATGTCATGTCCCTTCAGGACGTAGACAATCGGAATTTAGCAAAAATTCCTTTTCTTCTTTATCTGAAAATTTTCATTACTTCTTGTGAATAATAGATTAGTGGCTTCCTGTTGCTTACTCCATAGTTATAAATTTAGAATAATCCTTCTCTTAGACTAGTTGCCAACCAAGGCTAAAAATTAGGAAATATTTTGACGTCTTCTTTTTAAATTTCATGTTCGTTCAGGATGTAGGTAATCCTCCATACATTCCTTTTCTTTATTATCTGCTAATTTCTAGGCATTTGTGGGGTGGGGGGTAAGATAGCGGAATAGGTTTCGTTTCCTACTCTTCTTCTTCTGTGTACCGTGACCCTTCATGCCGTAGGTGATCATGGCTCTCCACAATTTCCTATACATTCTAGTTCAGTAAGTTTTGTCTTCTTGTTATCTCTCCTAACCCCTGTCCTGCCAACCACTTACATAAACTCGCTAGGTAGGTCATGCGTTGTTTTCCTCTGTTCCTCTCACCTTTAATTTGTCCTGTGAGTATCAAATTTTCCAAGCCCTCTGTCCTCATTATGTGCCCCAGAAACCTCAACTGTCTCTTTCTGATGTTAAGTATAAGTCGTTCTTGTTTCCATTTTCCCTAAAACTTCGTTGTTGCTCACAAGTTTTATCCATGGCATCCTCAGCATCTTTCTGTAAAACCACGTTTCGGCCGCTTCATGTCTCCTTGTCATCCGTGCGAAGGTTGTCCAGCATTCACTACTATACAGGAGTGCTATGATGTAACAGTTCAGTACTCTTTTCTTAATACTATTTCTTAATACTTTGCTTAGCTTTTGTTTTTCTCTGTCCCTCTTGCCTTCAATTTGTCCTGTGAGTATCAAATTTTCCATACCCTTTTTCCTCATTTACGGTTTTTGTATTCGGAAGAATACTTCTCTTAGACTGCCATTCAAGGCTTCAAAATCCAGTTTACCCCGATATTTAAATCATATCTAGAGGGCGAGAAAACGAATTAGCATCTTTCCCAAGGTTATTAGTGCGAAATTGAATGCAACAGACTAGGTCGGAATTTAAACTCAGCTCTCCGATTCCGCACCGTTAGCCATTACGCTACCTGCACAATATTCACTAAGTATCTCAATACATTCTAAAACGATGCTCGATAACAGATGAGCCAGCCATAGAGCGATGATGAGTGAGGACATTGTTACCAAGTTCGATCTTCACTGGAATTATATTTGAGAAAAGATATGAAATGTCTCGGTCGCCTACTTGGTGGCTAAGATAGTTGCATATTTTTTCAAGAACTTGTGATGGGGAATTGAAACAAAGCAGACGCATCTTTCGACGAGCACATATTTTGATGTAGTTTTTTTTTACTAATGTTCACACAATACAAGGCCCAAGAACCACACAAGGTAGAGGGTCACTACAGTGCTATTGGTAAAAGTGAATCACCTGATTTCTTTTTTACTAAATGTTTTCTTCTCCGATGAAACGAAAGTTGAGCTAAATTCAAAGGATAAGCGATCTAAAATCCGAAGAAGAAGCTTTGAAAGCTCTTTGAATTTAGCAGTAAGTACTGTCAAGCATCCATTCAGTATAATGTTCTGGAGGATGCTTTTCTTTTCATGGAAATGGTTTCTTAAAACCTATTGAAAAGACCCTCAGGAGAGAGCAGTACAAGAGAATTTTAGAGTCTTGTCTGCTCCCTTCTGCTGAAAGGGTACACATCGACCCCCACCAAGCTCATTTTTATGCAGGATAATGCTCCCTGTCAGAAATCAAAATTGATGAAGTAATACTTTGATGAGAAGCAGGTGAGTGTTATGACATGGCCGCCCCAATCTCCTAACCTCAACCCCATAGAAAACTTACGGAGCATTATAAAGTACAGGCTCTTGAGAAAGCAGTTGAGCAACAAAGAGGATTTGATTGTGAATTTCATATCCGAATGGAATTCAATGCTTAGAGATGAAATTTGCCAGAACCTAATCAAGTCAATGCCAAAAAGGGTTGAAAAGGTTATTCAAAATAAAGGAGGATCCATAGATTATTAAATATTTCGAACTATATTACCTATTATAAATAAATTATACCTCTATTATTCTTTATTTAAAGCAGTTCAGTTATGTTTCTATTGATTACTAGTTGCAGGGAATAAGTGAGTTACTTTTTTGCACAAAGTTTTTCCCTAAATCTCATTTATATCCAAGATTATAATTATCAATAGAATACCTTAGGGTGAGTAAACTTTTTTACTAAGTGGTCGGGAAGGGGTCTTTATATTAGTATGATTAAAAATTATTTTGACCCCAAAAAGAATAGGCGAAAAAATTTTTAAGTAAAAAAAATCAGGTGAGTCACTTTTATCGAACATCACTGTATGTGGTGTTTTATCAGCGTAAGAAAGGGCAAGAAGTGAAGTTCTTGGGGCTATGCAGGAAAGTCAACGGCTAACTCTAGACTTGAAGAGGTCAAGATTTAATTAGGGAATAACATTTCAGAGTTCAGTCGGAGAGGTTAGAAGTATAGTGTGGAAGTAGACTTTGGAAGGAACCGGAAACCTAATCCTAAAGAGGTAACAAGGGATAAATGTATTAAACCTTGTTCAAAAGGCTGGGAGTGCGAATGTGAACTGGATGATAGGCGTACCTATCTACTCCTGCTGGGAGAGAAGGAAACGAGTAGTCAGAAACTTTGGGAATAGAGAGTTGAAGTAGACGTCAAAAGGAACTGGAACCCCAATCCTAAACAGGAAACAAGACATAAACCTCTGATCCTATTTAAAAAAAACTGGGAAGAAGTGTGAACCGGACGATAGGCGAACCTATCTAGTCCTAAATTGGAGAATTGTAGGCTTAAGTTTTGATTACTTACAAACATATTTTCCAGATTTACTATCATTCATCATGTCTTCACAATATATATATATATATATATATATATATATATATATATATATATATATATATATGAAGAAATATAGTTTTAAGGTGTGCTATATTTAAGAGATAAAGTGCTCAATATCAGAGAGAGAACGTATGTCAATATAAAAAGTGAACATTGAAGTCAACACTCAGAGGCTCTGAGTGTTGACTTCAATGTTCATATATATATATATATATATATATATATATATATATATATATTGTATATTTAGATAATATGGATGTTTCATAAAACGACATACAAGGTTACAGTTAAGCTTTTTATTTAATTTTTTCTTGTGTTCGAACAAGAGCTTTCTTTTCTGGACAAATGGTGTGTAAGAACTGTCCAAATGTTTTATATTTCCGAGCGTTTTCGGCTATACCTTTAGCCATTATCAAGGATGATTCGACTTTTCAGCTTAATTGAATGTGTGAGTTATGTGTATGTCTCAGTGTGTGGTAGGGATGTTTTAATTTCCGAATATGTTTAGCACATTGTGGCTTTGTTCGTAGTTAATATTGTTAAGTTGGCTTTTACTTTTTTATTATTAAAACTTCCATTATTTTTAGTCTTTTTTTTTGCAGGTGGATGCAGTTAATATATTTGTGTTTTCTACTAGTATGTTCCTAATGGAATCGGGTAAATCTGTGTGTGTGTGTGTGCTTAAATGATAAGACCGTTAAACAAACACTAATCAAAAACGGCTCCCCTAACCACCTTATAGACCACCAAATTAGACTATTTCTCCCCAAAGCAAGTAATAACGATAGCGAACACACAGCCAAAAATCACATACACATTTATTACAAAAACCAAATGCATATTAATTACAAACAAGACGAATCTTCTCTAAGGCATATTATAAAGAAATATACTACTCCAATTGATCCGAATAAAAAAATCAAATTTATTATCTTTTATAAAAAATTTAAGACAGCCAACCTTATCCTCAAAAATAACAACACGCCAACTAAGTCAAAATTACAAAGAACGAACATTATCTATGAGTTCAAATGCCCCTTAAGGAACTGTGTTACTGATCAAACCGGACTTATAAATAATTACATCGGTTACACAACCACATGTTTATCCAGACGTCTTACATTACACCTATCTGATCACAGCTCTATTAGGACCCATTTAAACATATTTTTTTAGCTATGTATAATAATTTTAAGTACAAAACAACTACTTTTGGTCTAATTTTAAAAAATTGCCAGGTTTTAATCTCAAATTTTTGAACTGCAATGCATATATATATATATATATATATATATATATATATATTATCGACACAATCATGATGATAGTATCATTGTGATACTTTTGATAGCTCCACACGATTTTTAATTCAGAGGCGTCCTCGTATTCTGCTTGCTAATCACGACAAGTGCCCTTCTATTTAATACTGGGTGGAAAGGGGATGGTTTCATGCCTTTTCCAAGGGTCATTGTGTGAAAGAGAATGTAAAGAATTCGACAGGGATTCCAACTTGATTTCTCATTATGAGCTGATATCCATTACCTCACCTTGCACATTCGCTGAGATAGATAGATAGATAGATAGATAGATAGATAGATAGATAGATAGATAATGACGAGAAAGAAATAGATAGGCAGATAGATAATGGAGAAAAGAGTAAGATAGATAGATAGATAGATAGATAGATAGATAGATAGATAGATAGATAGATAGATAGATAGATAATGACGAGAAAGAAATAGATAGGCAGATAGATAATGGAGAGAAAGAGTAAGATAGATAGATAGATAGATAGATAGATAGATAGATAGATAGATAGATAGAAGAACTGAAACTCTGAGGACTCATAATGAACAAAGAAAGCTTGGAGAATTTAATATTCACATGACTCATTGAAAGCAAGAGAAGCAGAGAAAATACAGCAAGTCCCCTATTTGAATAAATCGTTAGCCTAATGTATCAAAGTGTCGGGTGGGTCTGATTAAACAGTAACGCGAGACATGAATCTTCATTACTTAACATTTCATTCACTCCAATGTTTCCTCAGTTACTTTCAACCAGTCTATAGTACCAGCCCCGTCGTCGCACCTCTGCCCGGTCCGGTACACGAACCCTACATTCTTTGTCTGTAGTGTAGCGAAAAATTGCTTCAAGACTTCAAGGTGGGATGTTTATATATTCATCTGTTCAACATTCTTGCTCTCATGCTTTCAATACCAGATGTTAGGTCTCATGCTTCTCTGTTCGGTGGCCGGGACCGACCCCAGGTCAATCTCCTGATGTACCCTGAAATTGTGGAGGCCCGTGATCCGTGATCTCTCGTTTTCTGAAAGGATATGATGCATAAAGAGAAAGAGATAAAGAAGGACTGATTGGACTACAATGTGCATGTGTTTTCTTGTGTTAGTGGTCGGCGGCTGTGAGGCGGGAAATGCTTTGTAAAGAAGCAATGGTTGCTTAGTATAATAGAAATTGTAGAGATCCATAATCCCCCCCCTCACGTTTCTGATTGGATACGACACGTAAAGAGAGAGAGAGAGAGAGAGAGAGAGAGAAATGGTTGGGCCGCTGTATCTGGGTGCGTTTTATCGTGTTAGTGGTCAGTACGACGGGAAAGGTGTCCTGTGACAGATGGTCCGGACTTCACGATAAACTGACTAAAAGTGTGCGCCGTCCGGAGCTAGAACGATAAGGGCTGGGAGGTAAGAGAAGCGAAAGATGACAAGGAAAGCAACTTGAATTAAAGTGACGGGCTTGAGCCGGTTCAGCCAACCCGGAAATATCTAAATATAAAACCTGATCGACAGGTTCTAAGCAATAAGCGGGTAAATAAACGTGCTACCATCTTTCTTTCAAAGGGAGAAAGTAAAAAAAAAACAAAAAAAAAACATAGATGTTTGACTGTTGCTATTGTTAAATATAGACAATGTTGAATAAGAACGTCGACCGGTTCAGCTGGATAAAGTATTTGGTGGGAAATGAATTGGCATGAGTGAGATTTAAAGGTCAGAAAGACAAACAAAAAGAGACAGAGAGAAGGACAAGGAGAACAAGGTAGGAATAGTGTGAGAGAGAAAGCATAAGAGTGGGAGTATTTTTTAGCCGGAAAAGAAAAAGAGGAGGAAGAAAAGCTAAAATGAATGGGAGCAAAGAAAAGAAAAAAAAAAAAAAGCTATGTAGATAGATTTCAGAAATGTACTAATGTTCTAGCTGATAAAAAAAAAAAAGATAATGTTACGCCGGTCGTTCAAACAGACAGAGCCTGGTTGCCTTGGGTATCAATATTTGAAAACACCGACTGCAGGTGCCAAATAGAAGTGGTTGCTGAAATGTTCTCCGCCCGAGGGGAAGAGGAATTTTAAAAAAAAGCATGATGCGTAATCATTGGGTCTGATATTGGGAAGAAAGTAGGGACGAGAACTTTTCGGCACAATGGGTAGAACAGGCTAAAAATAGGTAAAGAGGTAGATAGGAACAGACTGAGATAGATAGATAGATAGATAGATAGATAGATAGATAGATAGATAGATAGATAGATAGATATGGACCAAGATAGATAGATAGATAGATAGATAGATAGATAGATAGATAGATAGATAGATAGATAGATGAAGAGATTTGAATAGGTATGAGCATAATGAATAAACATAGATAGATAGATAGATAGATAGATAGATAGATAGATAAACAGACCGACATAGATAGGTAGAAACAGACCCAGATAGATAGATAGATAGATAGATAGATAGATAGATAGATAGATAGATAGATAGATAGATAGATAGATAAACTTAAGATCTTGTAGGAAAGAGGAATGGTGAAAATATACTGAGTGGGTTTTTAAAAAAGTAGTTTTAAATGAGACATTAATGGAAAGAGAAAAGTAAGAAGAATAAAAGCCCGGGAAAGAAGGGTTTAAAGAGAAATAAGTCGAAGGAGAATATGAGAGAGTGAAAGAGAAGGATATTAAGAAAGAGGAAGAAAAACTGATAAAGAGAAAACTCAACGCTCAAAACTAGAAACAATGGCATCAAATGAATGAGAAAAGAGGAAAAAGAAAAAAAAATCAGAGCACTTGCGAGAGAAAAAAATATTCGAAGTCTGTTAAGTGAGAAAGAAAGGAAATGGAGACCAGAAAAGAGGAACGGTGAAAGAAGAGTGGGGTCATTTACGGTCAAGGAAATTTCGTGCAAGAATTATCTAAAATTATTATCAAATTCCTGGCAATGTAATGTCTATGCAAAAGCCGGCCTACGTAATGGTGTATCCGGGTAACGGGAGTTTATTCTCCATTAAAGAAATGATAAAACCAGACGATAGAAAAACTGTCAGATAAGAAAGAAAAGCATAAAAAGATTGTCGCGGCAATACATCTTATCCTTCGTATTTACTTACCATAATTTTTTTTTTGTTTGTTTTGTTTTGTTTTTTGGGCGTTTTTTGAGGGGGTGTTTTTTTTGTTTTTTGTTATTTTTTGTTGTTTTTTCGGGGATTTTGGGGGTTTTGTTTTTGCTTTTTTTTTGTTGTTTTTTTTATTTTTTGTTGTTGTTCTTGTTTTGCAGTTTTCTCCTTCAGGCATTGATAAAAAAAAAATTCGCGTGTGTGACAGAGAGACAGTCATGTAAACAGACAAACAGAATCCGCCCCGTTTGGAAGTATAGGCGTTTTATCAAACTTTTGCAGATTTCTGTCGATATTCCTGAGATGAGGTATTCCAATTCTTCACTCTATTTACAATGTTCGCACTGCTGTCCTCATCTCTGTTGTCATATTCACGACGTTTCAACCGTCGTACGCTCCAGCTTTCTTCGGGTGACTGGAATTGCGAACCCAACCCTTTATTTCGTCCACCGGGGTAGATTGTTCTAGTTCCACGTGTCATGCCTCTTCCGGGCATCACAGTTTCAGTTATTTAACTCGACTCTCCAAGTTTTTGTTTACCTCTGCTGTGACTAAGTATCCAACACGTGCCCCAGTGGATAAAAGTGTTGGTTGAAGTAAACCACTGACCTGACCCAAGGAGTTGTGAGTTCAATACTTGCCCACAGCAGAGATGAACAAAAAACTTGGAGAGTTCAGTTAGAAGAAAAAATAACTGAAACTGAGATACCAGAAAGAGGCATGGCATCTGGAACTAGAACAATTTATCCCGTGGACTAAATAAAGAGTTCGGTTCGAAATTCTAATCACCTGAAAAATGCTGGAGCGTACAGTAGCCGAAATGTCGTGAATACGACAACAAAGGTGAGAACAACAGTCCGGACATTGTAGATAATTTAATTAACTTTTGCATGTTATTTAAAAACCAGAAAATTAATTTTAGATTGTAAAAATTGTATGGAGAAAATAAAGATTTACTGATACAAGTCATACTAATTAATCCATAGATGGGGAAGAAGAGGTGGATTCATACATTTCCCAAATGTCTTTGCGCGTAAGTGAATATATCGAACTAGAGTGGAATCGGAATTCAGTTCTTCGACTTCCAACTTCGAACTGTCATCCATTACCCCACCCACACACCCAAGCTAACACCACTTGGTATTGCCGAGCGGTCAACCATCTTTGTTGTGACCAGGGTCGACATTGCTTCAAAATGATATGACCATAAGCCAGAAGTATAAGAGGAATACTTGAGGTTTCAGTCAGTTTTTTATGTGGATATTCATTTATAAGCTGTATCACGAGTAAGACAGTTTAAATAGCAATGGCTATTTTAGCTGTTTCCTTATAAGGAAACATTCGCTCTTTTCAGTATTGATGGAGTGTTTCCTGCCTAGTCTTCTATTTGAAGTCATATGGAATGTAAACAACTTCATTCTGGCGTTATTTTCTCTTCGACTTCCGTGTGCTATCCATTTCAGTTGTTACAACTGTTGAATGTCTTCAAGGGATGTTGTTTCTGTTGTCTGCTACAGTTCCTTGTTTGTGATTCTGTTAACGCTATCCTAACAGGTTTAAAGAAGGTTGATCTCCGCCAATATCTAAAAAGGTTATTTAATATATATATATATATATATATATATATATATATATATATATATGATACCCTGAAGATTACGTTCAAGCATGAAACCGCCGCTCAGAATTGGTCTCACTACCACACACACGCACACACACACACACATACACTCACACACCCACTCATGCACACACACACACACACACACACACACACACACACACACACACACATATATATATATATATATATATTCACATAGCGTGTCTGAAAATTGAGAACGTTCATTTACACGGTAAAGGCATTTCTAAATTATTAGGTGATAATTCAAGTAAGACGAAAGAGGCTTCTCTGAATGAAAGAGAACAAGAAGACTTTAGAAGGAACTATTATGAAACAGGGAACAAGGGATAAACCTCTACTCCTGTTCGAACGGCCCAATGTGGAGTATAGAACAGACGATAGACTTATATATATATATATATATATATATATATATATATATATATATATATATATATATGATAAAACGGAAAACATTTTTGTGGAATCTGTCTATATTTCTGGGATGAGGTATTATGTACACTATTTACATTATTCGGACTATTGTCCTCATCTTTGTTGCCATATTTATTACAACGTTTCGGCCGTTGGATAAAGGCGTCAAAGAGTGTGAGTTCAATACACGGTTAAGGCAGTGGAGAACTTGGAGAGGGGAATTAACAGGAGATAACTGATAACTGATATCCATTAAACATGTCATGTCGAACTAGAACAGTCTACCCCAGTGAGCGAAATAAAGTGTTCAGTTCGACATTCCAACCACCTGAAGAACGCCGGCGCGTACAACGGCCGAAACGTTGTAATAAATATAGCGACACAAATGAGGAAAATAGTCCAAATAATGTAAATAGTGTATTTTTGGAACTCGTTTCGTGCTTTTTTGCATATTATCATTACTTTTTTAACATTGTCCTGCTATATATAAAAGTATGTAGCCTTTTCTTCCACTTACACACACACACACATATAGATGTATATATTTCCCATATATATATATATATATATATATATATATATATATATATATATAGTCAAACCTAGAGAGCCAGACAAACCTACCACCTAAGCGAATCGTCAGGGAAAGCTGGCTTTCCCTGATGATCCGCTTAGGTGAAACCTTAGTAGGTTTGTCTGGTTCTCTAGGTTTGACTAGGTCTCCTCTACTTTTGTATTGAGCACTTTTTTAGTTAGTTGATTCCTCGTATCGGTTTTTTTTTTCTTTGGACTTTGGACCTGTATGCTGTACGATTATTTTCGACAGACGTTCATGTTCATAGCTCTTTCTTTTTTTAAAACCCTTTTTACCTTCGAAATTGATTTGATCATTTGCAAATCAAGAAACCGAAGGTTTTCCGAGACGAGTGTAGTTACATATATATATATATATATATATATATATATATATTTCAGGAGCATATATATTGTCATCCACAGACTGACTGTTTCGCTGTATCACAGCTCATCAGTGTGGATATATATATATATATATATATATATATATATATATATATATATATATATATATAGTTTTTCTCCCCCACACATATATATACAGCGGCCTGACGATTGTGTCTAGCATGAAACAGCCTGTCGCCTCTGAGTGTTGACTTTAAGGTTCACTTTTATATTTATATTTACATACGTTCTATCATAAATATACCACACCTTAAAACTATATTTCTTAGTACATATATATATATATATGTGGGGGAGAAAAGGCTACATACACTATATATAGGTATATATACATAGTTACTAATATATATATATATATATATATATATATATATATATATATATATATATATATATACATTTTTTGTTTATACGTTCTTTTTATAGATACAAATATTTAAGTAAATGCTCCGTTTATAATAAACAGTATTAAACAACATTTACCGGCCTGAATGTATAAACATAAAAAAAGTGTCGTAAAATAATTGTCGGACATTGTCCATTTCATAATGTGTGACGTCATTTGTTTACATTTGGATACGCCATGTGCAGATATGAACGTACGTGAGATAATCATGGAAGATTGTAGTTTAAAGACAGTAAAATCGACTGTTCCAACCGTACGCTCCTCTGTGGTCCAATCGGTTAAAGGCACGTCAGGCTATACGATGGTTCCGTATAGGGTGCAAGTTCGATTCCTGTTGGAGGACGAATATTTTGTATGAAAATTTATCAGACATTCGGGCCGGTAAATTTTGTTAATACTGTTTATTATAAACAGAGTATTTATATCTGTATTCATAAAAATAATGTACAAACATAAAAATGTCTTAAAATAATTGTCGGACTTTGTTCATTTCAAAATATATACATATGTATATACTAATGTGCTAAAAGTTGTTAATAATGTAGATATATATATATATTGCCTTTCTCCTTTTCTTATATACTGGAGAAAAGGCTACATACATTTATATATATATGTATATGTATATATATATATATATATATATATATATATATATATATATATATATATATATGTATATATATCCGCTACCATTACTCCACCGTGCCCATATATATATAGCCTTGGATGGCAACTGGTCTAGGAGAAGGACAACACTGAATTCAAAACATGCGGAGGGTCGTTTTTGGGACCTTGTGACAGGCAGTGCACCAGGTCTCTGTAATCGTCTCTTTAACAAGTGTGGTTGGTTCTACATAATCAAATCTTCACTACTATAATCAAATATATATGTGCTATATGTCTGGGCTATATGGGATAAAATATATATATATATATAACATACATTTATATATATATATATATATACTATATATATATATATATATATTGTATATATATATATACATACATACATATATACTAATGTGCTTCTGGTTTTTTTTCAACCATCAATTTGTTTGGTATTGAATGTGATCGCGTGTGTTTTCTGTGTGTGTTTGTGTGTGTGTGATGAAGAGGACGAACAGGTCGAGCAGATAATTTTTAGCCCCCTCTCATAATAAAGGCCAAAATCGATTCGTATGCAATTTAATTTTGCAGTTGTTCCTACTGCGATGTAATTAAGTTATTTATTTTTCTATCCAGACCCCGATGGTTTTCTTTTCTTAATCGTAAACGCTCATGTAAGAGTGATACTGATTAAACAAACAAATCTTTCGCATGTTCCTTTTTATTTTGTTACAAAGCATTCATGAAAGACATGGTCTTAAGCGGCCATTCATGACATGAGTTGAATTGGCAAAAGGCACGTCCTCTGATTGACATGATATTGGCTTGGATATATAAGCTGGCATGAGATGACAGAAACTGTGCACCCAGTGAGGATGCAACTCACTATCCGAGGAAATTGGTTTTGTGAAACGAGTTATTAGGTCCAAAAAAATTAGAATGTTTTTTTACTTAAAATTCAGTAGCAAAGAAAGAAAGAAAGAAAGAAAGAAAGAAAGAAAAAGAGATATTTTCTAAAGAAATAAAATTTAAAAAAGAAAAAAATTTAAAGAACTGAAAAAAGAAATTTTTTTAAATTTCTTTCTTTAAATTTTATTTCTTTCTTTAAATATTATTCCTTTTTTAAATTTTATTTCTTTACAAAATCTCTCGCTTTCTTTTCTTTCCAAAGAAAAAAAGAAAGAAAGAAAGAAAGAAAGAAAGAAAAAGAAAACTGGAAAAAATTCTGTGGAGAATGTAACTGACTTGTACAAAGAAAGTCGGAGTTAAAGAGTGAGTGAGTGTGAGATGAAGGGATGTAGGATCATAGTAAGGGTGGACAAACGATCAAGAGAAAGTGAACGAGAGGTAGAAGAAGGAATCCGAGACAGAGAGAGATAGGACGAGAGAGAGAGAGTGAGAGAAAGAGATCAATAGACACGTGGATAAACAAGCGGGTGAAAAACGTAGGCGAAATGGGAAAGTTGAATGGCACGACAGAACGTTGAAGAAATTAGCCGACAATGTGCGGACGGAGGAAAAAGAAGCCAATAAAAGAGGTATTTATTAATTTATTCTTCCTTTTATTCTCCCAACTTAAACTGGCGACTCGGCAAACGAGGTGATAGCAGCAGAGACAGTGAAGATGGTGCTAACGGTGGCCAACGTCCGTAGTTTCTGATTTGCAAGTATAAAAAGTGCGTGTTTATACGCATGCGCAAAGTAATATCTCAACAGTTCGAACTATTCAGTAAATTCAGTAAAAAATAGCAAAAAAAAGTTAAGGCATTTTTCTCTCTCATTTCATCTCGTGTGTGTGTGTGTGTGTGTGTGTGTGTGTGTGTGTGTGTGTGTGTGTGTAAACAATGATTTGATACCGCAAAATTTTATTATTGCCTTAAATTATGAGATATATATCAACATCTTAATACTAAAAAAGCGGGAAGATCTGAGAAACATTTCGGCCAACCCTTCAAGAAAAATCGTTCGCAAAATTATTATTAATTTTTTTTTATAACAGGAACAACTAAAAACAACTTTTGGTGGACCAAATGAGCGAAGAAAACTCGCGCGCGATTAAAATATAAAATTGCAACAATCAAAGTTGGTAAATCAACTAAATTTGTAATGATGAAAAGCCAATTTTGTTCTCGCATTTAATTTATTTACGATATATGAACAAATTCTAATAGATATGAACTGAAACGAAAATGATAGATAGATAGATAGATAGATAGATAGATAGATAGATAGATAGATAGATAGATGATTAAAGACAAAAGGAAAACTTATCTTAACCAGCGCGTTTCGTCCTCTGAGAGATTTTATTAAGACAAATGTAAAGATTTTATTTTATAACAAGGATTTATGCACAAGTGCAAAAAAAATATTGATTTTTCAAAGATTTTAAAATAGATAGATGGATAGATAGATAGAAGGAGGCTGAGATAGATAGATAGATAGATAGATAGATAGATAGATAGATAGATAGATAGATAGATAGATATCAT